AAGTCAGATGCGTCACAGACGACACTGAAAGGTCGATCAGGATCGGGCAAACTAATATTGGCGTATGAAGGAGACTCCCCTTAACTGCTTTATAATCATTATGTTTGGTGTTACCCCAACACCAATCAACACTCTTTTTAAGGAGATTGGACAATGGCCGAGCCATATCTGCGTAATTTGCACTGTACTTATGTAAGTAATTGGCAAGGCCAAGCCACTTACGCAGGTTCTTTTGGTTCTTGGGAACCGGCCAATCGACTATGGCTTTCACCTTAGCGGGATCCGCTCGAAGGCCTCGCTTCCCAATGAAGCACCATAGAAAGGGAATATCTTCTGCACCAAAGATGCACTTCGATGCGTTAGCATACAACTTATTCGTCCGCATACACTCGAGCACAGCTCGTAAATGATCAATGTGGTTATCCACATCTGATCGCCCATTCATTGCACGACTATGGACAAAAATGTCATCAAAGTACGTTTGTGCATAGCCTCGATGAGGTCTGAATAGCTGCGTTACCAGCCGGTTAAACGTAGCCGGGGTGTTAGATGGCATAACAAGCCACTATCAGAGCATAACGCTCGGATTACTCACCGCTGTTAGCGGAATATCGCTTGCTCGCATAAGCAGTTGGTAGTAACCATCGACTAAGTCGAGTGCACTGTACAATGTACATCCTGCCATATTGTTCTGAAGCACATCCTTTGTAGGAATAGGCGTCTGCGCCGGTATAGTGGCTGCATTGACCTAATATAATCATGCACAATACGCCACTTGCCATTTGGCTTTTTGACACAAATTGTCGGTGTTGAATGGGGAGACTTGCACTCACGAACCATTCTAGCCGCGTGCTTAGCACGAAAGAATTCGTCAATGACGTCACACTGTTCTTTAGGAAAAGGCCACTGCCGTGTTACACAGTATTTAGTTCCAGGAACCAAGTCAATCTCATGACGTACACCTCTATCGGTAGGTAAGGCAGAAGGTGGGTTGTGACACACCACATCTGGAAATTCCTTAACTAAAGGATATAACGGATCCAAAGGATCTTTAAGGATCGAAGATCCACTTCGTGCACTAAGTGCCGCCTTTGTATCTTCTAGGACAGACTCATCCATTAACGAGGAATAGTTCAACTCAGCATCAGGTCTAATGACCGCTAACTCGGATAACTCTCCTGCCTTCAAGGCCTGGCTAAACTCGCCATCAGACATTTCGTCTAGCTCACAAAGAGCGTCCACAGATGGAAGGGTTTCAAGGCAAACACTGCCATCAACCTGACCAGTCACTCCATTAACAAGTGTATACAGTGTATTACTATAATCACTATGTGACTGTGAGGACGCCTGGCGCTTAAAAGTTGCTACCCGGCGTCTCGATCGTCTCTTCGAGACCTTACACCCCTTAGGGGTCGGGACAATATTGTCCCCATGGTAACTACTAACCATAGTACGCTCTACACAAGAGCTTTTGTCTTGACAGACATTCGGTGAAGTGTTACATAACTCGAACACATCACCCAGTGGATTGAAACGTGCTACTCCACGTGTATTATGCGGGCCTAGCCCCAAACTTAACGGCGCCTCGCCAATAAGGTCATTACCGACATTAGGTGTGGTGCCCTCACGGCCGCCCACACTATACAGCGTATCGCCAACAACGCCATTACCGTCGTTAAGCGTGGTGCCCTCACGGCCGTCCACACTATACGGCGTATCGCCAACAATATCATTATTGACATTAGGTGTGGTGCCCTCACGGCCGCCCACACTATATGGCGAATCGCCAACAACGCCATTACCGACGTTAAGCGTGGTGCCTTCACGGCCGCCCACACTAAATGGCGTATCGCCGAAAATGTCGTTACCGACATTCAGTGCGGTGCTCTCACGGCCGACCGCACTTGGTGTACTTTCACGTGCCACCATACACACATCAAAGGAATCACATCCTTGATCACTTGGCCCTAGGCCAACCATGCTTTCAGCATGCAGTGACTCGTTATCACAACGAGTAACACTCAACGGAGTACGTGCCGTTCCACTAGTTTCAGACGAGCTAGGCTCGAAACTTATGTTTGTAACATTGAAGTTAGATAACTCAGACATTCCAATGTCCAGCACATTGACATCTTCTGTCAAAGGCTCGCGCCAATAGCGCTTTTGTTGCCTAGCGAAGGTGGGTTCATGACTCTCCAAAGCTTCGCTAGGAACGTTGCGCGTAGCGCCTAAGGTCTTAGACCTCCAATCAATCCAGGGCTCATGGCGCTCAAGCCAAGCCATACCTAGGATGAGATCATATCTCGAGTCCAAATCTAGGACAAGACAGCGCTCAATACTGTCAAAGTCTAAAAATTTTATATTTAAGTTCAATGGAACTTTAAGCACAGTTACGCGACTTCCAGTCGCTAACCGAACCGTGATAGAATCACCCTCATGCGCTGTAAGCGCCTCAGAATAACGCTGACTTCCCTCAAGGGAACGGCGTCGAGCAAAATTGCAAGACGCTCCAAAATCGATCAATATCGACCAAGGCTTCTCAAAGTCCTTCATTTTCGCCTCGGCGACCAACAAGCCAGACTTGTATCCACGCACCATACCTGTAGGTATGGTACTCTTTGGGGCTAAGCCCTGCATTCCTTTACCTTCTAAAGGTGTAACAGAACATAATTCTTCCCCACTAGGGCGCCCCGCGCCTACTGGGTGTCGAAATTTCCCCGTGCCATGCCAGACTTCTGACTCGGGGTCGAGTGTTGGCTCGTAGCCTGGCGTTGCTTACGCAAAGGGCAACCAGGCCGCAAGTGTTTAGTGCTTCCGCACGTAAAGCATCGTCGTACGACGTGTTGCTGCTCAGCAGCTTGAAACTCAGCTTTACCTCCATCTTCAGCATAGCTGAGATCCATCGGTTCCGGCCTATTATAGGCAGTGCTACCAAGTGCAGCGGAGCTACACAGCTCCTTAAGTCAGAGGAAGACTTAACGCTCTACGAGCAACTTAGCTCCAAAAAACTAATGGATTTACGAGTCAACAAGCTTTACAGCTTCAGATCCCTGTTCCAGGGGGACCTAACGATTCAGTGAATCGACAGCACTCAGTGCTCAAGAGTAGCTACCTCGAGGAGGTGTCGCTAGCTCTTAGTGATCAGTGATCAACGATCAAGACGGCTCGCAAGCCACGTGTCCTTCCGATCAAAATGGGAACTGATTTTATTTTTGTTAAAGCCTATAGAATATCTTAATCCTACTCAAAGATCTTTCGTACCTAATGGCTGACACTCGTCAGCCCCTACAAACCAATAAGATATTCTATATCACCTGCACAAAGGGGTAACCTCAGGTGTGTAACACCTCTGGTACAATGTACCATAATTTCGTGCAACCCCGTTACTCTGGTAGCCTACATTCTTTGGTGGCGGCCACCTGCCATCATCCTTCAGTGTGAAAACCTTATGAAACTTGTAAAATGAAGTGGGTCCTCCGTGTAACGTGCGATTCCATTCACTACCTTGATAACATGACTGATCTTATCGATAATTTCATCACCAATTATAATGATATTTGCCTTCGCACTAGTGACACTAAAAAATCGAAGGAAAACTCTTGCTAAGCACCCTGATTAACGACTCATCATCAGAGCGTTATTGATATCACGTCTCTCTACATATGTAGCTAACTTTTTCGTCATTGTCGACGTGATCCTTGTGCTTTTAATTCGCATAGACTATACCAAAGACCTAAAAACAAATGTTGACCTAACAGTACGATTGGTTATTGAATTGCCAGCAGCAAAGCCGTCGATGGCAGATATACCAGACCTAGAACTACAAGAGCACCCCATCTTCCGAAGACTTTGCTATTTAGCGAAACTGTGACCAGTGGTTGCTATAATACACTTTTGACAGCTGTTCCCTTTAGTGTCGTGTGCATTAGAGATAAGTGAGGTGCGTGGCCTCCCGCTTTTTGTCCTCATCAACGTGCGGGTTTCATTTAAACTTTATTTTTAGCTTTGAGAAGCCTCAACACAATACCTCCGCACTACACCATCTCTGTTACGGTGCGATAGGTAAGCAACATCATCGTGGTAATCGCTCACACTTTCAATCGCTGGAATTCTTTGCGATACATTTTCGTTTGGCCTGATAGCAGATGGAGTTCTTACATTTTAAATTGCATAAATGACGAATGCGTTCTCCTCTGCAGGCCATGCAGCCATCTCACATATCGTCTCTACATGTCAGACCATTTTCTGTGCCAATTAAAACCACCCTGCGGAACCTCCAAGTTGAATCACCTGCCAAAAAAATTATGGTAAGGACAGCTCACACGGTACTCCCCCTATGCATGACCCTCGCCAGTACAAATAATCGGTATTTTCATGCGACATTTGACTCCTAACGGCGAGTTCTGTGGGAATGTACACCGTTACTAAGGGCTAATGCAAGTTGGGAAGAGAACTGAGAAGTGGGAGCATAAAGTCGTTGTGTGGAAATGAAATGAAGGTGGTCAGTGTAGGCTAGGCATCCATCAAATTACAATACAACGCTTATCAATCAGTCATCATTAATGCGATGTCGCGCTGACTCGAGTCAATCAGAATCTTAGTAAATTCAGTCATAGACTTCTTTATCCGACCGATAACATTTACCATCGATATTATGAAGAAGCAGGACCAAAACAGAGTACTTGAAATGATCTTGAACTCTCTTCGGCACGACCAAAATGTCGTAGTAATATAATTGCGGGTTGGACATTTTGACAGCCAAATATTGATGTGATCATGACGGACAGCACCATGTCATGCGCTGCCAAAACAAACATACCTTTGTAGGGGATCAGAAGAAAACGATCTATAGGATCCGACGGTTGACAAAATAGAGACTTTCTACGAAATCACTCGAGCATGTGAAAGCTGATATAGGGCGACGCTGCGATGCTACGGGACGTGGACGTGGTGCGGCCCATAACGCGACATTCTTGAACGTACCAGTCAAGAATAACGGGATGAAGGCCACCTTTACTCGGATGCAGAAGCTTCACAGGAGTTCCGCTGGTGTGGAACAGCCGAAGGTGCCGGTGCCAGTGCCGGCGGGACCGAGAGACAAGCGAAGCTTTTTTTGGGTTTCTTCGCGCGACATTGAAATCTATCCTTTGGTGCTCTGTGTAGCTGTTGGCATGACGATTGCTGTCTTCAGTGGTGTTCGCCATCTATCGTTTAATCCCGACGTCAATCTGAGCCGTGACCGACGTGAGACACCAGCGTGGGAGCGGTACGAGCCCGAGGAAGGAAAAACTTACTCGCGGAACCGCCACCATTTCGCCAATCTCAAGCCCAATCCGGTCAACCAATTTTCCGAGTCCGCAACGCTCCAGGAGAGGACTGATGAGCCTTTTTCAGAACATTTTTAAAGCGACGGGAGACTGTACGAAGCAGTCACGGAGAGTCTCGCGAATTTGTAGCAATACAGCTGACATTACGCGACATCCAGTTTTCGTAAAGTGTGCTTGTAGAACATTCGACATCGTATGTTACGTCGCTTGGAAGAAGATTAGAATGGACTCCATCACGCCGAACAAGCGACGTACAAATACGCGACTGTGTACGTCGAGCTGTCATTGCCCCATCACATTTGACATAAACTAGGTGCAATAAGGCACTATTACTACGCGATGCTACGACAGTCCATCATATGTACTATTACGAGCGCACATCATGCACTTGCTACGCGTACCTTGTCAACTGAGTTGTTTCACTGCTACGCCTGTACAGTGTATCGCACCAATGCTACTGATCGAAGTTGTAGATCGGCTAGCGTGAGACACCTGCTGTTCACGCTAGCTGGTGCCAAGTTCCGTCACGGGCCCCACCGCGTCAGTATTAGTGCAAGCGGCGTCTGCTAGTCAAGCTTTGATACAGTGCAATTGTCAGCAGGCGAAGGAGAAGGAACGGATAGAGGTCATCATGCCCAAGGATGAGGCACGTGACGAATGATGTCGTCTCGGTTTATCCGAGACTCGGTTTATCCGAGACGACAGCGGGTGAATTGCCGAGTTATTGGTTCGACTCGATCGCATCTATACACCTGTTTTCAGTCCGTAGCAGTATCCCTGACATCTTGTCTCAAGCGTTTGACTTTTGGCCGGTAAGGTACGCCTACTCGACTCGTAGGTGTTGCAGGTGTCGCCTTTACGCCACTGTGTTGAACGACTGTTGGACGACGAGCGATAGCGTAAAGAGAAGCGGTCATTTTTATTACAGGGAGAATACGCGTGTGGAAGTTCGGCCTAAATTCGGTGATGATGTGGTCTCCTTTTCTGTAATAAATTTCTTCAAGTGTGAAAAGGATGCCGTAGCCGCTGTCCAGCGATGCCGAATACGATCGCATACAAGATAAAGCACGCTCGCTTTAACACGCGTCTACTGCATGCTACGACCATGCGAATGCGTGCTGCTGCTCCTTGTGCTCCGCTGCGACTACACGCAGTCCACAGCTTTGTCCTCTCTATCGATGTTCCGGCACGGCCTCATCAGTCCCATCATAGTGTGTAGCTGACTCAGTGAACGTGTTGATCGGATTCGGCTGGAGATTGGCGAAGTTGTGGTGGTTCCGCGAAAACGCCTTCCCTTCTTCAGGCTCGTAGCGCTCCCACGCTGGCGTCTCACGTCGTTCACGGCTGAAATTGACGTCGGGATCGGATGTCAGGTGGCGAACACCGCTAAAGATGGCAACCGATACGCCAAGACCCACACAGAGCACCAAAGGATAGATCTCAGCATCACGCGAAGCGACCCAAATAAAGCTCCGCTTGTCGCTTGGTCCTATAGGTATCGGCACTGGCACCTTTGGCTGGCCCACGGCTGCGAGGTTCCCGCGAATTTTCTGCGCTCGAGCAAAAGTGGCCTTCATCCTGGTGTTCGTTGATCAGCAAGTTCTTGAATGCTAATGAGTCGGGTGCTCCGTTTTTACGTCCTGCACCATCGCAGTGTTCGACTGCCATCACCATGACCCCGCGTCAGCCACTTCGACTGCCCGAGTATTGCTGGTACAATGGTCCTGTATAGATTTTCCGTTCATAATGGGTGCTTCGTGTATTTTTAGAGCCGCTCAACAAAAATGATAGTACAATGTAGCATAATTCTTTTTTACTCCGCAACTTTACAATAGAGTGAGCGTATCAATATTGCGACAGAAGTTAGTATCGTAGAGTATTTACATGGTTACGTACAGATGCGCAATAATCGGCGAGTTTGTGACGTGGCACTCAAAGTCACAAACAATGTATCACAACATAACTGTAGATCACGAGAGTTCACGGGATGTGGAGACCCGCGCTGAACAGGTCTCAGCTGATCGCTAGCTCCAATGGTTTTTGTTGTTCTGAGAAGCCGACTATTCACAAGTTGATGTAGATGATATCCGAAAATGTCCGTATCAGGAACTAAGTGCTGTCTTCCAAGCTTGTCGTGGTGGTCGTCCAGATCGGGAAAAGTACAGAGAAGTATGGTGTTGGACTTGTCAGAAACCCATCTCAACCCAGCCGGTGCGTGCCTGTATTTGCATCTCTTAGTGCTTCGCTGCCCTATGCACCCATGACGACGCGTCATCCTTTCGACTCCCGCTAAGTAGGATCTTCGTTGGAGGGGCTACTCGATGTGGAGCTGAGAATAGGATTAGCTTGATGTTGGCTAAGTATATTTGGGAATGCTAGCCTTCATAAATGACAGCCATGTGCTCCTGATGAAAAATAACAGACATGAATTCGACAACTCATCCTTAACTGTCGTACTACTTCATTCAACGGTGTATCTTTAGGCGTTAATTCTTTTGCCAGTGTAGTGACCATTTAGCAATAACTGTTCACGCCATCACAGTCGTAAAATGTGATTCACTACGCTCCACTTTAACGTGCGCTATCGCAAATTCCTCTTTCATCGCGTAGTCGCATCAATTGCAGAGCACCAAGTTAATTCGTCAGGTTATCAGCAAGTTGAATAGCTAACGGAACTTATTTCATTAGCTCAGTGCGATCTCGACCGAAATGCACCTCGATATTAATTTGCTCAGCTCTTTATGTACGTCACTTTTTCGTCGCAATACTTATCGCCGCCTTGTTGTCCATGTGCCTTGTTGTAACGAGGTGAGCCTGTTGCGTGTAATTAACTCTGATACTTGTTACCTAGAATATGATCATAAAGGTTAATGATGTTCGTGAATATTACCACAAGGGGTATAATTTCAAAGCACTCGCCGATTGGCCAATATGGGCCATCATGTCAGCCAGCTCTAGCGGCTTAATCAACGATGGACGCGCGCGATGAGTCGTGAGCAAAACAATAGTACTTTCTACTATTAGTGAACGTGTCGTTAATCAGATATCCTTCCTCTGTATGTACAGTGTACAAGATGTGACGCGCAGTATTCCTCACACTGTTGTTAGTGTAGGTGCACAAGTTCTGAAGCAGTACTAGTGACCAGTGCCCCGTTACAATTGTAGTCGCAGTCTTACACATGGATCCTATCTACTTCAGCGAATAACGAGTTCACATGTATTTGTGCGTGGCTAGTGCCAGTGCCATATGTTCCGCTTCAACTGAGGATAAAGTCACCGAAATTTGGCGTTTACTATTGCACACGACATCTGCATAATCGAGTAGAATTAACACACTAGACGTAGACCGACGAGTCTTCTGACTCCCCCAATTCGCGTCAAAGGTTTCTCATAGCACGACCTTTTTCATCCGATTTCTCGTACGTAATTCCGTGCGATTGTGTTCCCATAAGGTATTTATAAATGCAGAGAGCCGCACGCTTGTGTATCTGTCGTGGCTGATCCAAGTACTGCGATAATACTGTATTACGTGAATTTTTTCTGTGCGTCTCATTCGCAATAAACAAGAGCGAATCGACCAATTCACGACACAAGGTGATAGTCGTAAGCAATAGCTGTGATTCGTTTGGAGTTAGGTCCTGGCCTGCGCTGATAGGGTTGCTAAGTAAATTGCTTCATCAACTTGAACTTTAAGACCAACTTCATGATAGATAAGGAGTTTTTAACACCAATTCTCCCTTCTCTTGTGAGTAAAACACTTTATGCACAAAATGAATTGCGCATCTCTTTATGAACTCATTGAAAAATGGTCTGAAAAACCCTTGAAAATTGATCTGTCTCTGCATCTGACTTGCGTCGAATGAAGAGGTTGTCCACTTACAAGACTACGTGTGTGGGCGACTCATTTTCTGCATAATTTCGTCATACAAAATGACATGCGTCTGCTCCATGTTTTTCGAAGTCCATGGCTGAAAACACAGAGCGTACTTTTTGTGCCACACCGCAGCCACTTGTTTGAACCTATAAAAACTGCGTCTTGATTTTCTCACCATTCCAGGTACAATCTTATCACCATGAGGTGGCTAAAAAAATCGTACTCTTCCAAATCAATATTTTAAAATCACCGTATTCACATAAAACTGCCGGATCTATCATGCTGCAGAAAACAGACAGAACCACAAATCTTTTGTGATCATGCGATATGTGAATATGTGCCGAAGTATCTAAAACCATGCGTTCGCGAATATCCGAGGGAAATTAAACGCGCTTAGCAACGAACGATACACCGTTGTATCGTACTTGGGCCCAAATACCCACTTCTGACTGGAGGATGGTACTTAGATTTCCATGTTTGGTTGTTAAGATGAGCATTAAATTCTGCTTGAATTTCCGCTTTCCATTTTTGTGCTTCCATTGACCTCAGCGCCTCTCGTAAATTCATCGTACATCAGTAGCAGAAAGGAAAATCTCGTAACCATAAAAACATTGACGTTTGGATTCCGGCCCATCGTGTTCGCTGTCCACCGGCGATTTATCAGCCAGAAGCGTTTAGTCAATCTTCTCATCATCAAAGCCATTATTTCGTGAGTAGATGAGATGACGTGAAATTGCTATAAGGCCTTTTGTTCGACCCCGAGTTCATCTCCAGTCGGTTACCTGAGGGCGGGGATTGTCACACAGACCGATAGCTCGCGACTGATCAGATATGCTTGAGAGCGTGTGTGTACCATAATAAACTTCCAGTGACCATTTCGTGTGGAGTGCGACTAACTATTAAATTGTTTGTGTCAACGAATATTGTGTCTGTGCACTCCCCTTTAATCGAAATATCGTCGAATCTGGTAGACTGATTAAGATCACTAGTAGGATCCACAACCATTCTTTGCAGCTAGTATCTTTGTCATCAGTCTCATTAATGTCCATGCCCGCAATCTCTATAATCTTTTTGAGTAAGGTACGGTCACCTCCATTTCGTCGTATACTCATGATAGTGATTGCAGTGAAAAATTGGTTCACGTAGAACAACAACATCTTTGTACCGCGAGGGAGGTCGCTCGTTTAAAGTAACGGACCTAGTCACGACCAATCGTTCTTTACCTAGATCCCAGACTCGGTATGCCTTCGACGGTTTAAAATACCCAAGAAAGATGCAATTGCTGACCTTGTTGTACCATTTTGTACGCTTACAATCCGCTACTCGTAGATATCCAGTCGAATTAAAGACACGAAAGTGGCTAAGGTACGGCTTCGATCCATACAGCATTTAAAAGTGGCTCAGTTCCTGGCTTCGATTCATACAGCGTTTCAATGGACTTACGTTAGGTCGTGCAGCATTCGGAAACCGATTGATGGTGCACGCAGCCGCTACAATCGCCCCAACCCACCACGAACGATCAACTTCCATGTTATAAATCATCGAGCTGGCCATCTCATCAAGGTTCGATTCATACTCTCTTCTAAGCCGTTTATTTTTGGATTATACGTCACGCTAGTCCGGTAGATATTACCTAAATCAGCACACTACTTGTTAAGAGGATGATTCTTAGACTTCTCACCATTTCCACTATGGATGCACTTAACCTTGCAACCTGTATGCATCTCTACCATAGCACGAAACGCTTTGTTAAATCGTGCAAAAACTTGGGACTTTGCTGCTAGCGATTTTACGCAGACTAATAATTGTATTCGTCGATAAACGTGAGTATTTGTAGATTTCCATCCTTCGACTTGAGGTTCATAGATCTTGTTGGACCGGTGTGAACAATCTCAAGTGGACGAGTTTTTTTACTTAACTTTCTGAAATACGACTGAACGGGCTGTTTGTCAAATCCCTGCGTGCACTTCCATCGCATGCACCGCCATCAGGTTCAAGAACTCTCGGGATACAATCGCAATACTTCATCGCTTGCATGACCTTTTTTGTAGATACATGACCTAGGCGAGCGTGTTATTGCTCACTAGTGTCAGTTATCGCGATAATTCTCGCATCCTTGTGTCCCTTGTGTGCCTCTATCTGATGCGTTGTTTCACATTTCACGCAAACAGCTGTACCACTCGTTTAGTTACTGCAACGGTCACTTTGTCGCTCATCAGAACTGCTTGGTTAGCTTAAACATAACAAGGAGGCCTCGGTCTGTCAACGCTGATACATGCATAAGTTTCTTGTTTAGCCTATCTACAATTAGTACCTCCGTAACTCATTACTTCCGAGCACTGAAAAGACAAACATTCGGTAGGTAAACGCTACTTCGGGTTTCTACTCGATGCATCCTACCAGTTCGCAGCTATTATTGATTCAGTAAATAATACAAACCAGAACAATTAGAGGTATTCAGGACTCACAATTGTTTTGGTTCTCGGATTTAAATAAACAACTGTAAGGAATTTCACTTGAAAACGGAACAAACTATCTTGAATGGAATAAGTGGCCACACGACTCTCTGGTTGACTTGAATCCTCAAACGCCATAAGTTTACGTACGTACAAAACAATCCGTTTATTCCAAAAAGAAGTACTAGATCGCTTATCACGCGATGCAAGACCTGGCTGTAAATCATAGCGATCTGCTTATGGATGG